GTCCATGATGAAATGTCCTGCTCCTGCAGAAATCTTCAGAAAATGTAAGTGCTAGTTTACATCTGTAGGCAAAGCTTTGCATCTGTTAGAATTAAAAATATGTTTTGATGTGATCTGAACATAGGCAAATAATAATTGTAACGTTATTTCACCAGTACAGTACCTGAACACAATAAGTGATAAAATAATACAACATCTTCTGGGGTGAAACCTGCAGGAAAGCTTGTTTCTTTCAGAAAAAAAGTCTCTGGTTAGTTCCAGATGCTTCATCATGGACAGAGTCTTGTATTTTTTCCCTATTCTTCTGAATTCGTTATCTCCCTTGGTTTCAAAGAGACATGTTAAAGAAATTTCCTTCAGCACTGTCATTTCATTGTCCAGATTTTGTACTATATGTGCAATACAACCGCAGTACATCTCTCATGTGTTCTCAGCTCACAGGAGGATTCTGAACAGAACTAAAGGAAAGTGTTGTGTTGTGTTTTTCTTCAGAAAAACACTTCCTATTTCTTTTTGAACTTTTTAATTGACAGTACTATTCTCACTATGGGGAGAAACAGCAGATTAGTCATTAAATTACCTCTACTGGGAATGTGCTCACATTTCTAAGAAAAGTTAGCTGATGTGGTGAGGAAAATCACCATGCAATGAGAATCACACTTCTAAAAAAGTAAGCTCTTCTATTTGACTTTGCAGGTTCAAGCCTGTTCCAAGTGCCTCTCTGACTATTAACATCAGCGTGATTAATTAGTAAGTTGCGATGCAACCAAATATTTCTGAGCAGTTTTCGACAGACCACAGGAGCTGAAAATTAATAATTAATTTTACTGTTAGCCCTTGCTTGAAAGAGCAAAATTCAATAGAAGGCTATTTTTGATACTGGATTAAAATTAATTGCTTTTGACAGCAAATCTACAGTAGCACTAGACTTTTTTGCAGGAGGAAAATAACTGTGGAAGGTGACAGTGTATCCATGTGTTGATAAATGTGAAACAGGGGGAAGGAATTAGAGGGAGGAGGGAAGGAGGTTGAAGAGTATTTGAGAGGTTAAGAGGTTAGGTGAGGATAAAGATGATTTTAGGTCTTTTAACAACGGGAGGAAATAACAATTCACCCGTATTGTAGCTTTGTCTACAGGTGCTGCATTCATAGGCTGCTGGCTTCATGGGACAGTGGCTTTGTGCCTATGAGTACACTCGTGCCTGCTGGCTAGAAGTCATGGACGCCAGGGCATTGCTAACTTGTGCTTTGTCCTGGCATGGTCTGTATGCCCACTGTGTTTGTTTGCCTGTCTCTGTGTGTGAGAGAGATGTGTAGTGGGAGGCAGATGACTGTGTGAGTGGCAGTGGGACTGGGACAGGTGTGGGTCAGCTCAGTCTAGGTGTGCAGGACTGGGATGAGGTGGTGTAAAGACTTGGTGTGGCTGTACTGCATGAAGATCTAGGGGTTTACTTCAAGGCTAGATGCTTAATGATGCTCCCTCTTGCTGCAGTATGAGTGAGGAGACTATACAAAAATGAGAGCCTATGCTTCCCAGACTGGCCCTGTTCAATTATTATAAGTGTCTCGCTGGATTTTCACATTCTCCATTAAATTCAGGGGCATTGATTTCGAATGCCGTAACTGTGATGATCTTTTCATGAAGAATAGGCCACCACAACCTTGATCGGTTTGATAAGAAAATGGTGTGAAGAATAAACGCTTCTGATCATGTATATTAAGACGAAGGTAAAGTCTATATTAAAGCCAGAGTGCCTGCTCAGGCCAGAGCTCATCCTGGTGCCTGTCGAGTTCAGAGGACTAGAGAGCACTAGACTCCCCCTGGTGGGGACATTGGTCCACTGCAGGGAGTTCCTCCCACTTACTGTACACAGCTCGGTGGACTGGAGCTACTGGGTAAAATACTTCATTGAATTGCACAACCCAAAATCTGTCATTAACAAGTCCACACTTTATATGCAGCCCCAGAACAAATACAGTATGTAGATAAAATATTCCATAAAAAATTTTGATAGAAAATCTCAGAGGGGAATGAACCATTTTACAATTTAATAATATGGCAGAACTTAGTAATTTGTGTTCGTTTTGTGTGATTAGAACATCATTCCTTTTTTACCAGCATCTTAAGAAACCTACATTATTTGAAATGTTTCTTTGCATGTATTAGGATTTGAATTAGGAAATTGAAAACAAAGTGTTTCATGTGTTTGCAGTTGGAGCTGTCACGTGTGTGAAGGGAAAGACCCTAATGTTCTTCCCAAAGGTCTTGTCATTGGGTTGATACATCCGATTGAGTCTGGACTGGTCACAGGCAATTTGGGTGAATTGATAGCGCATTTCAGAGATGGTGCAAGGATGGGCCCTGATGATGTTCCTATTTGCAACATTCCCTAGTCCTGCTCTCTTTCGATGATCTGTGGCAACACCTTTTGTCATTATAATGAGGAACTGTTTTTTTTTAACACCTCTACAGTATGTGCAAAACATCCTCATGTTGGGACATAATCCTCGGGCATCCCCATCTCTCCTAAAATCAATCTCAAAAGCCTTGGTCAGTATTGGATGATAAATAATTACAGTAATACATTTATGCAACATTGAAAAAAATATTGACTAATCTGCAATATATTTAGCTACTCTGATGACAGGCACAACACAATAAAGCTTAAAAAGATTTTTCTCATCCTTTTCTTGCTTTTGTTTATTTACTGTATATTATTGTGTCCTTTACTTTTGTCGAAGTTGTCTTAAAGGTAACCTGATACAGCGAAAATACAACATCTGTGGAACAGCTTATTCCAGGTCTCATTTCAGCCATGGACAGAATTCTTGAGAAGCAACCAGTGTCAGGTATTGCTGAGAAATGGAAGGAAAGAGCTTAACATTCCCTGTTGGACAGAAAACTAATAAAAATTCAAAGAACAATCAGTATGTAGTAATTACACATTTACACCATTTATTAAAATTATTTTATTTACATGGCTGTGTAAGGTATTCAATCATAAATGTGTACATTAGAGATAATTACTTTTCACTTTATGATCTGGTAACTATGATATGAATGTTGATAGCATTCTTTTCCTAAAAGGGAACAATACACAATCTTTCAAAGAAAGACATATTATACAGTAATACAGTATTTCAATGACATAATGTACTGTAGTTCAGGTGGGTAGCTGCGTCAGCATGCGTAGACTGCAAAGGAGCAAGTAATAGGTTTATTCCATGCTGAAAAGAGAAACACAACGGCTCCACGGCCAAAGCTTTGTGTTTTCTTTCTTCTCTTTTCAGCACGGAATAGACCTATTAATTGTTCCAATTACACAATGTGGCTATTGCAATAGGAAAATCTCAGTGAACACTTTCTACTCCATTTGATCAGTCGAGCAGTGAACCAGGTTATGCTTTAATTAGTGTGATATAAATTCACATTTCCCTCTTTTATGTCTACTTTAATACCCGTCAAAGAGTATTATTCCCATTTAGAAATGACATGCACTGAAATGAGTAACAGCCTTTAAAAGGGCAGCTATCTCTAATTCTTACTTTTTAATACGATGACAATTGCATAACGGTCTACTTATAAATAAAATTTTACAACAAAATTATTCTTGTACGGTAAAATGCAAAGTTTGAAAAGCTGTAATTACTCAAACTTGACTTATGTTGTTAACACTGACAACAATCAGCACAACATAAACATTGGGAATTTAAATTAAGAGACAGACATTTAAAGACATCTTACCTGCCAAGAAGAAACTACACTTACACACATGGGCGTGTGCAATGTTAACAGCCATTGGAAACAAAAAACTGAAAAATGTATAATAATAATAATAATAATAATAATACTAATACTACTACTACTAATAATAATAATAATGAAAGGCTTTACTAACATTTTTCCTTGCTTACCATAGTCCCAACAAATGAGTAACCATTGTAAGGTAATAACGACCTTATCATGCTTAACTCTCAGAATTACTGACCTTAGAAATAACACCATCAGGTTATGCAAACTCCTTACCATAACCCTCAATGAAATGTTCTACAGCCAAGAGCCTGTGATGCAGATGTTATTACTGAAGAAAACAGAATGCTTAGAGTGTGCAACACAAGGCCTGTAGAATTTGCAGAGTTTGATCTCTGTCAAACCATGACAGGCTTTTAAAGTTCATTTAACAACAAACACAATATTATAACAACACAAAAGCAAGCTCCTGCATTTCTTCTGAAACCAATTTTTATGCAAATAAATGTCTTCCTCTGTTATATTATTCTTCAGGAAGACTACATGGAGACATTGTGATTTTTTATCACAAAGGTAAATACAGTACGCCATTATAGGGACTAATAGACTGTAAAAAGAGATTCCAATCCAAACATTTTATTTGCTGCAGATTAGTTCCCATAAACTTCAAGTGCTGAAAAGTTTTGTTAAGAATTTTGAACTGTGATGTTCACTAGGTTTTCTAATAATTGCTTATACCTGTTTCTAACAACATAAACAAAACAGTAATAAACTGCTTATAGATAGCTATAACAGGAACCTTAATTAACATGTAACCCATTTTTTAAATGCATTATGTGAAACTAACAGTTTTACCAGGTTCGGTAAAATCCTTGATAATTGATCATTAAAGTCCCATATTCTGCGTTGTCATCTAAATTAATTCAGTAATTAATCAATCAACTAAATTAGAGTTGATAAAGCATAAAAATCATTCTGTTCAGAACCTTACTGAATATATTTACTCAAAAGTGGTTTTCCACAAGGATATTAGCTACTACAAATTTCTATAGCAATTTTGTCTCTTGACATTATCAGAAGGAAAACAAGAACTATAATTTTGCCAATGGCTTTTGCTGTTTGCATGGTTAATGGCAGCTGCTCTATGGAAAACTTTGCCTCAAAGATAAAGTGATGATAAAAAAACATCCAACATTTGATTGACCTATGAAACTGAAACTTGATACAGTACATGAGGATGATCTGTTCATAAGGTAAACCAAATTGTGTTTTATTGACAAGTTCATTACTTTGGGTGGTTACATGTGAGGACAGCTGTAGGGGAAAGTCTAGCTAGACTCACATCCAAAACCTTACATACTGTAAGAAAAATAAAAACAGTTTGCCAAACTTTGCTTTTTACATCACATTGATACAACAGGTGATCAAACGTTTCTTGAGACATCACATACAATGGGCAAGGATGACAATTGATATTAGTAGAAAAAATGCACGTTTTACAGAAAGCAAGGAAAAATACAAAAGCACAGCTTTTGTCATTTTAATAATATTGCAATCTTACAAATGTATTGCATAGAATCTGTAAGAAAATAGTTTTTTTTTAATTCTGTCCTTATTTAACTTATTTTACAATTTACAGTAGTAAACATAAATAATAAGCAAATAAAAATGATAGTACAGACCAGTTTTATTCTGCAATACTCAGTACTGACATTAACCCCTGAATACATGGGTTTCAGTTGATATACTTAAGACAATTAGCAGACAGACCATCTATAAGTAGTGTTATTAATTATATACCCCGCCTAAAACACACGGAACAAGGAAAGTTTACCCCCAAAAATCTAAAAAAACAACTTGCAGCTCATCTCTGATCCTCTTTTTCAAAACACCCAATTCACGAATCTCTGTTTGTGTGGTTTTTACAGTACGTCTTGGCTTGCAGTTATAAACCATGCAACAGCACACAGGGGAGAATGCAGGCCCGCCCTCCTCTGAGCAAATCTTCTTTTAACAAGTCACAGGCAGCATAGCACGGATTGGAGGAGAGGGGTATCCCTCACCCACTGCACTGTGACCCTGCAAGTACCTGTCAGGTCACTGTGTAGTGTGGTTAATTTATACTCAGAAACAATCAAGCAAGTACCAGATTACAAAATGTCAAAATGTCAGATTACAAAAGGCTTATTTCCCATCATAACCCAGGAGGCTTCAAAACACAACGCGTTCTATTGATTTGAAAAACCTCACGTTGTGTTTTCAGTGCCTCACGGTGTATCTTAAGTAGATGGATGTACATATAGACCTAAGCCCATGTGATTAAAAATGAAAGGCATTGCTGCTCTGAAATCTTTCTGATTCAGAAAATGAGTCTAGACTCCCCGGGTCTGAAATAGATGGGTGGGATTAGGGAGGCTGATTTCTTCATCAAAACCTGGGTTGTTTAATGACCAGAGATAGGTTGATACCTTCTGTATTGAATTAGGAGACCTCTACCCCTGAACTAGGCTGTAGGCTGCTGTGTGTAATGTTTTTTCTTGCAGGACCCTGAAACTCAAGGAAGACACCAGGGACAGATCTGGATTAAGGTGGTCTTTATGCAGTTTGCAGCTTGGAGCCTAAGGGAAGCCCTCTGGATGCAGTTCTGAATGACCCCCTGGGTGCATTTGTCCCATTTTCCTGATGTCATTTTTGGTCAAAAGATTGTTGAAGCTGTCAGGACTGTCGGTTGCACGAGACCAACAAACTCCTACACTTAAATGAGAAATTAAAAACAAAATCCTGTTGAGAGGGGAAGCTCTTTCCTTAAAAAACAAACAAACTAGTGCGTGTTCTTGAATGTGTGACTTGTGCAGGTGAGAACACGCAAGCAGCCAGAGACACAGATGCAGCACATGTGGGGTTAGTACTCTGCATGAAAGATGTCATCGGCCTACAGGACAACCACAATCACTTTATTGTTTTGGGATCATGGCAAGAAAGCAGAAAGAATTTTGGGTGTTTTAGTGTCTAGAAAAGCACAATAGGTTATCAAAGAAGAACTGCAAGCCTGTTTTTTTATTCATCTTTTTGCTTTTTGTTTTAATTTGGGATGTCATGTATTGTATTGGTAATCTCATTACCTTTATAGAAAAACAATATTTGATGTCATTACAATTTATCACAACAGTACTGTCACAAGAGAACATATATAAATTTACCTTTTTAGGCTAAAATGTCTTTCTAGTGCAGTATTTGTTTGGTAAGTCTGATGACAAGATGCTACTTTTTTCACACAGACACATGTTAGACTTTTGTTCTGTTCCCCACAGCCACTGCCTCCTGCTTGTGTCGATCACAGGTGACAATTGCTACTCTATAATAGAACAGGCTGCAGGTACTGTAAGTGCATTGCAGACACTGAGGACGTTATTCTGATCTTTAAAAAGACAATGCGTGGCCGAGAAAAGTAAAATTTTGAAACAGGAACTTTCTTGTCTGTCTGTTGCTTCCAGCCTTGTTGGGTGCAGTTTGGAAGGCCAGCCGTAGAATATGTTTGCAACACACTCTTGACACGGCAACAATGGGTGACTTTATGACGTTGTATCACGGACTTTAATCTGTTTTTGCAATTACAGCTGACGTCATGAAATGCTTGAAAACAAGCCCACCAGACTGGCTTGGGATGAACGTGTAGCAGACTACGGCTTGTCGATGGAGCTCTGACTTAAACACAAATGTCCATGTGTCAACCTGAACATCTAACAGAGCCATTTAATGTAGCTGAAATGAAGATACGGCCTTATTTATGACTTCCTTTAAGTAACGTCCCAGCAAACATCTTTAGATGTACAGTACATGGTGTGAAGCATAGAAAAAGATTTTTCAAAATATTATGAAAGCCCAAAACAAAGACATAAAAATATACATGACTATGTTAACTAAATAATATAAGGTACTACCAAGCATTCTCAGATAAATGATTATTTAAAACTCGTATTATTTTATTATTGATTTGGGTTGGATTATATACATGGCATTATTGTGCTTTTAGTTGAACAGTAGAGAAATGCATACTGTGTTAGAAGTCTTGTTGATGTCATTCAGGGGCGGAAATTCCTTAAACAGAAGAAAAACATGTATTGAAGGTCTCTTTTAAGGTTGTAAATGATGTGCTTTACTGAGAATAGCAAAGGCACCTGTGTATTCATTTCAGTTTTAGAAAATATATACTAGATCCTAGCCTCACCGTGTGCGCTGTGTTCAAGTTCCTCGCCTGCAATACCTTCTCCTTGTGTTCGTTAAAAAATTAAAAAAGGCAACATTTTTGCTCCTGCGCAGTCTGGAAGATGCGGCCTTTGGAAGCCACCTGCAGTTTTCCTGATTTTCACTTAGCAGAGAAAAAGCCAAACTGAGAGAACAGTGACCAAAGGCCTTTCTGGTGGAAGAACCTCATCCGCTCGCTCTCAGCTCCAGAGACAAATGTTGCTTGTGGAATGGCAGGTGGAGCCCATCCCGGCTGGGGAGAGGTACAGCTTTCCGTTGGGGCAGACGCACAGCTCGTACACTGTCTGTTTCGGGACGGTGGAACCCAGAGAAGCCGCCGAAGTGCCAAGTGGAAGGTTCCCCAGTCGGATTGTATTCGCGTTTAGAAATATCTAGGGGGAAAAAAAACATACTGTACTTTAAATGGAGCACACTGGTTTATTTGTATTGACTCACAGGCACCATGTCACTCATAATCTCTTTGGACATAAAACAAAAATCCAAATTAATGCAGACAACCCCAAGTATGGCCAAACAAACACACCTGAGTACAGAAAACCATTAAAGCTTTTAAATGGTGTGTTCAAAAATGGGTTTTAATTCTGCTGTGCCTCTGCCGGAAACTTTTACTCATCGCCTGCAATGTATTTCATTACAGAGAAATATTTGTTTGCGTTGTTTGCAGAAAAGGAACGTCAGTTCCAAAATGGGGAGACTTATGGTACCTCCGCTGACTAACAATAAATGATATTCCCGCTGCAAAAGCGGAACGATAAAGAATGTTGACTATTTGCTGCTGGCGTCTCCCTAAAAAAGTGATCTAGGGTACTGTTGTGAGAAGGCTGTGTTCCTGGAGCCCGTCCTGGGTGTTAACTCAGGGAATGCAGGTTGAATCTGTATGGATGAATGGACGAATATACAGTACACTCGTGTGAGTCTGCGAGCATAGAAATAAAACTACCACGAGCGGTTCTTGCTATTCTTATCCTTATTCTTATTCACACATATAGTGCGTTTCTGGACTCTCCACTCAAAGCGCTTTACAGGTAATGGGGACTCCCCTCCACCACCACCAGTGTGCAGCCCCACCAGTACGCTCCCCACACAGCAGCTGTCAGTGGGTTGGAGAGCTGAGGGATGAAGCTAATTCAGAGATGGGGATTATTAGGAGGCCATGATTGATAAAGGCCAAGGGGAAATTCGGGGAAATGTGTATTTCATACTGTACATGCACTTATATGGTATATATACAGTATATACAGTACAGTATGTCTATTTCTTTGGCATTTGTATCCACATGCAATATCCACCAGTTGTTAATGCCGATTTTTTTTATTCCTCAACCTGCCAAGTGAAAAAAAAAAAGGTGTAAGAAATGTAGCCCTTCCAAGGTTCTATGGACGAGACGTGCAGGATTATGATGCAGCCTATCAAAGTGTCAGGGAATGGATGCAGTAAGGCTGCCTAGAGAAAAGGAAGAGGAATACATATTACTTCACAATCCACACCTCAGAGGAGCATTTCACAGGTGTGCGCGATGATTCATGTGGTTCGTTATGCCAAGAAAACCATGTTGATCCACCAAATTCTATTAGGTCAAGCAGTGTTTTCCTTCAGGTGCAGGATGATAGGCTGTATTTCTGATTTATATTCAAAGGCAGCTGGATGGGCTGTCTTCAGATGCAGTGGTAGAGCATACATATTATAAATACAATAAGCCTACCAGCTGAGGAAATCCAGTTTTCCGCAGTGCAAAGTCAAATGTAAAATGGCTCAAATTAACTTCAAAGCAGCTCTGAATCTACTGTCATTTCAATTCTCTCCATGAACACAATAAAAATGTGGTCGTTTTCAGCTAAAGCTTATCATGACTGTAAATGCTAATGTACACCAGAGCTACTCGACCTGTGACCATTCCAATCCATTCCAATTGTTCTGACGCACCTGGAGATCGTTAATTGCTAAATTGATCCTGTTAAAACCCCTTAGTGGTACATGCCAATTTCCTCCTGGAATTTTCTCCCCTTAAATATTTTGTTATATCTCTGCAACAGAACATAGCAGAAGCCTGGTTTCTTACATTGAAGCTAACCCCCCTGGCATTGATTGTGAACAGTCACATTTATTTTATCGCTTAATGTGTCCGTTCAGCAGACAAACGTATAAAAAAATAAACAGCAGGCAAATTTTTTTTCTTGTCTTCAAAGATCACATTTTTCCATTTTTAGGCCTATCAGTTGGCTCAAAATGCTGATTAAAAATTGAGACAAATTGATCAATTTGAAGAAACTCTGCAGAATTTTTGTGAAGACTGGATCTGGAATTAAATTTCTCGCATACCCCCAAAATGTATAAAAGTTATTGAAAGCCAATAAAAAATATGTAGAAGCTATTGCAACTGCAATAAAAAGCCTTTTTGGCTAAAGAGCCTTTTCTGCTGTTAGGCATTGAGAAAATGACCACTGATAAACATTTGATTGATTACCCTCTGCTGTGTCAATAATTGACAGCTGGATTACAGCTAGAATTCCTTCCAGAGGACATCCCACCCCTTACGGGCTCTGATTGGCTTAAACTACAACGAATGACAGCGTTTGCCACCAATCAGACTAACTTTTTCGAGGCAGTCAGTTTCAAAATTCAGTTCCGATAGCCGATACCTATCAGTTTCCTCCAGGTCTGGAGATGAGTAAGGACAGCATTTTGTGGATATATTTCTGGTCTTACGGATGTCCCGCATAAGATAAAAATGTGGGATATATACATTTTTTTTGCTGGTTTTTGCTTTTGCCATTATGTTTGGCTGGGTTATTGATTACTTATAAACAGTGTTATTGTGATCGATTGCCTTGTTGTATTTCAGTTCTGAAAAAGGTTTTGTGAAGCTAAGGTTGTCTATTTTTGATTGGTATGAGGATTTCTGTAAAGGTTTTTTTTTTTTTGGCAAAATACTATGAAATGTGATGTGTGTCTTAAGTAAGTATTGACCAAGTACGGTCCCTCAGGTGGTTCCGCAGAACATTATCAATCACATTATGAGGCAGCTGTTTGTAGCAAAATCCCATAATGGACTGGACTCGAAGGGCAGCAGGCTAAGCAACACTGACACAGTTATCTGAGCTCTGTTCCTTGTTCATCAGAGCACATTGTGTAGTGAAATAAACAGTTTTGGATTTTATTTAGATTGTTGCAATGCATTTTGTTTGGGTGCACAAATACGGGATTTTGCACCTGTGGATTAATTAAAATATGGACGGTGAAAGGATTTGGGATGGATCCTTTCTGTTAATGAAAGCAGAAAGCTGAAAAAGGCTTTGGAAAAACTGAAATTTAGCCTAGATGGTTTTTAATTGGTAGAATTCTGCATTTTCCCCAAAAGTAATAAATGGTTTTAACCATAGCATGATATTTATTAAAAATAAAAGCTCAGGTACTATTGGAAGTGTACATTTCATTAATATTGCTACAAAAGAGATACACTTGTTTCACAGGCCAGTGAAACCTGTCTGAAGCTATTAGTTTCTGTCACTAGAAAGGACTTGGTGCTTTCAGATTATATTTATGCAGTGATGCTCTTGTGATCAATGAAAGTGTTGCAATTATGTTGGTTCAAAACAGTTTTAATGGATGAATTACCTGACGCTAAATGGAATATAGGGTTTATCCTTGACTACACCATGCTGTCCTACCCAAGTCTGATAAGCAACTTGGGCTATGTTACCAAAGTTAAATCAGAAAATGCAATCTCATTAAAGGGCTCTTCCTGTTTCTTCAGGAAATACTAAAGAAGATTCTGGATATTTTTGCTTGTGTGGAATATTGTGTAATGTATGTTTTCAGATACAAAAGAAAATTACTGTCCCTACAGCAGATGGTATGTTTTCTCTTTCATACTGAGGTCCATATTGAGTGCTGAAAGCATGTGGATGAAATGTGATTATGTGATAAGAGCTAAATAAGACCGGGGAAAGATGAATATTCTCAAAGCAGTGTAGAGTAAAATACATAGATGTAGCATTACAGCTATTCAACGGGCAACACAAGCCTTTCATCTCATGACATGTAATAAATTAACCATTTTCTTTTGGCTCCTCACTGTTCGATATACATACTGCATTGTAACACACTTTTTTGTAAAATATGAAGAAGAAATGGTACGTCAATGTTTTTTCACAACAGCTGCAATAATCATCACTATTATTGGTATTTCTACTGAGCGCTTGTATTGTTGAAACTCTTTTTGAGAAAGGCACTGACCATAACTGGCATAACAAAGACAAAACTCATGGATTCAATGAAGCCAAGAACAGATGTAAAAGCTTTAAAGAGAGGTTTCAGAGACCACATGAGTTACAGAATTCTCAACCAACTGAAAACCATTGTGGTTGTGCGCTGCCCCTGTGCCAGTAGGAGCTACAGTGGCAGCTGCAGGCCTTCGGGAGTTTCAGGTAGACCACACCAGCAGAGAGCCCTGATGGTGCCAGTGGCAAATTCCCAACAAGGGAACACGGCGAGGCTGAAGGTGGGAGGGGATGAGAGAGGTGAAGGATCCCGTCTGAAAAGCACTACCCAGAGTGACAGCTAGTAAAGAGGCATCTGTAGCTGTGCACAGCCCTTGTTAGTCAACTCTAGCCTCGTCAGTCTCAGAGAAACGCAGGGACAGCACAACCCTTATTACTTCAAAGGTGTATACGGCTCTCACTATTCCCAGAACCTCCAACCATTTGGGAAACTCTGATACAAAATGCCAGAATACCATTAGAAAAATACAATAATATACAGTACTTGAAAGGAATTGAACTGACTTGATTCAGTTCGCATTGCATTGTCTCTGGTGTTATCCATTCGTCCATCATCTAAAGGTCACTTATACGTTGCAGCAAGCTGGAAGCACAGGTCAGAAACTTGGCCCATGAGAAAACCTACATGGAAATATGGCACATAGCCCGTTGCACATTCGAACCCAGGAGCTGTGAGACAGCTAACTGACTGCCTGCCAATCTTCCATCAAACCTTCAGTGTGCAAGGTGCACTGAAAGTGTCTCAAGGCAAAGAAAAAAATCTTTTGATAAACATGTACAGTATATGCCAGATTTGTTAGATGAATTCCTTGAAATTCCTCGCCACATTTCCATTTAAAAGGTTATTTGGAATAGATGGTGACAACGTCATGTACTGTAGAACACAATTTGACTACACTGAAAGACTTGGAGACAGATTTGAGATTTTGCTGCATAAGATATTTTTGATTCTGAAACAGCTCTGTGATTCTCAGAGATGCTTACAGAATTTACTTCTAATTTTCTTAGAAGGGGAAGTCTACATAAATTGGGATGCTCTTTCCAAAATTGGAAATGATTTTATAAATTGAATAGTTCTTGCGAAAATGTCTTAATATTGGGATTATCCATTGCTTTATTCTTATTATTCTAAGTTTAACATTGCTTTCATGAACTATCTGTGATGTCTCTCCTCTCTAAGGGAACAAAATTAATATCAACAATATTACTTTCCATGCCTTTATTTTGCTCCCCCTACAAGGTTACTTTTGGATTACAATTTTAGCAATTTATGTTCATCAAGGAAGCCTTTACATTATACATTGGGTTTTTAAAGACAGATAACTGAAAATAATTTAAGCATTAGCATCTGAATGTATCAAATGAGAAAAATGGCCTCAAGCCTGTTCATGGTCCTTCAGTTCATAATATCCATCTGATTCAAGAAGGGTCCCACCGAGCCCAGCACGCCGACTCTGGAGGATTAAATGCCTTCTTGTGAGTGCATCATCCCAAATATGTCTATATGCTAATTTTAAACACGCATTTATATAATGAATAGCAGGAATGATGCAACAACATCCGTAACATTGCACCGCACTGAGTGAACAGTAATTGAAGGGGTATAATCCAGTCTAAAGGTGGACAAGAAGGCGGCAGAGATAAAAGAGCTGAAGCTCTCTTAGTTTAAGTGGCAGTTACAGTGATGTATTGCTCCTCTCCTTCAGAGCTGAATAAATACCCCTCCCTCTTTCTGGAGTAACACAGGTCTGCAGATGTGACAATGCAACTGTGCTTCAGTAATTCAGGCTCAGGCCCGTCGGCGCTGTCCACGCATTACCCACTGTTTGGGAGCAGCTGTGGTGAGAATGAGCCCTTCCTCAGAATTCCCCAGCCAATACGTAGAATATTTAAATGTGTGCGGGAATGAAAGGCAACTTTCTGCTGGGAGGAAGGGCGCTATATATTTATAGTACGAAAAGCCTACCCCATTTATCAGGGCAGCGAGTAGGAATTGAACATAAATAAGAGAGCCTCATTTTCTTTTGGATATACTGAGAGGTCAAAATAAATTTAAAAGAAAATAGGTACGAGCTCCACTAATTTGAATTCATTATTTCCTAAATAATTTCTCTTTAAAAATAACTTCTTGACAACTACGGCAGATCTGCGCAGATTGCTGTCACAGAATTAAACTGGAAATCGTATTTTTCTTAAAAGGTGCGCAACGTTCTGGTCTTCCTTTTTTTTTTACTGCAGTGCAAATCGTTTTTCACAATTTTATGAAAGTAACGTTCACTACGAACTGTGCGTTTCCACAAAAAAACCAATAACCATGCCGCAAATAATGAGTCGGTAATTCAATTTTAAATTGAATATAATGTTTTCGAAGAGATTACCCTCCGAAAATTAAGAAAAAGGGGGATTATAGCCGGCAAAGTAGATGTGCTGTGTTTTTAACACGTATGTTCTGTACCCCCGCACTCCAAATAAGAAAAGACCAACATAACCCATGAATACCACACGTGTTAATTAAAATGTCAAAAAAGGACAAGGTTATTTTGATTGATGCTCTAATTAAACACTGATGAAACCCTCAAAGCCGCACACAAGCTCACCTCTCCCTCTGTAGACTGAAGCTGCATCTCTTTTCGACAGGTAGCCTTGAAGTCTCCTGCATCCGCACTTATCTCAACCCCCCTAGGAGCCTCCATTGTGAGGGTCCTCGTTGGCGATTCCAGCCTGCAAAATAAGCATTGATGAATAAATGTCAAGCTATTCAAAATGCCTCCCCATGTCAATGCATTTTGCCTCTGTGGTATCGATCCTGCAGAACAGATTGCTCTATGGGTTTCTCTAAACAATAAACTGACTCACAGGTCTTCTCTGTTCAAATGAAACAGGGGTATAATTGCTCAGCATGTCTCAGCCTTCTTTAGATACAGTTCCAAATGTAAAGCAATGTTTTGCTATCGATTGGATTATGATTACTAAAACTCTCAGGATCAGGATAGAATCTGAAGTCGTACTGAAATGACCTCAGAGGGGTGTGTGGAGGTTAATGGCAGCAGTGTTCTGGTGGGGTGAAACGGGCAGAGGAAGAATAAAGTGAGACCTGGATCCCAAGCCCTTCTTTCGCTGGCCTGACGGTTTAAGAAAAAGCTTTGTCTGTTCTTCTCTTTGTTAACTGCACGAGTGCTAATGTGTATTTTTGATAATAACAGGGTACTGCAGATTCAGCACTGTTATTGAAGGGAAGAAAAATGAGGAAGATGAAAAGTCTGAATTGCTGCCTAGTACACGACTTCAACAAAAACAAATGACAACTTAAACAATTTCTTTCATTACGCTAGGCTGTCCCAACATTTCACACTGTGGAAACATCTGTTGGGACCCTGAACACTACAATAGCAAAGAAGGTTGTGATAGTTTTCTGGAGTGCAGTGTAATTGTGCATTTTGGTAAATTTATATTAAAGAAATTACTGAACAGTAATTTGAAAACTAAAATTACCCACACCAACAACAAATCAGTCCCCACTGTGTAAGCTGTATCTACACCGGAGGAAATAAGTCGTCGTGGTGAGACAAGATTACATTAAAATTAAAACAAAGGTGACCTTTCTGTCCTAATAACGTTTTAACACTGCTCGTTTGGAAGCAGCCATCTAATGTTGAAATGCCGCATATAAAGTCCAGTAATTGTCTCAGTTACCTATGATTCATTTTATTTCGTAAGCTAATATCTTTAACGGAACAAGTAATAGGTTTATTCCATGCTGAAAAAAAGAAGAAAGAGAACACAACGTTTCGGCCGTGGAGCCTTCCTTTGCAGCGTACGCATGCTGACGCAGCTGCCCACCTGAACTAATATCTTTAATTCTGTGTCTCGAACACAGGCAGGACTGGCAGGATTTCCACACTCGTTTTTCCCTGGCTGCTGAACAAATTCATACAACACAGTACTCGCGTGGTGTGGTGGGTGAAAGCTTTGTTCGTCCTTTGAAAGCAATAAGAAGCGAGGATTACTAGGAAGAGAATGATCCTCATTAGGTTGCAGTGGTGCAGGCGGTGAGCACGAGTGAGGGGCACGAGTGAGGGGCGTGCCGTCTGTCGCCTACAGTAGGCCGGATCAATAAAAGGGTGGGAAGGGTCCCTCTCCGATGGACAGGCAGCCCCAGATCAATCATGGAGTTTGAAGTGTGGGAAAGGACTGGTGCCTGACTGAGGTCTAGAAACTATTTTGCTAGAAGCAGGATAATCTGTTGCTTCAGAACTGATTTATTATTTTGAAGTTTGACATCAAACAGCTGCTTTGCATACCTCCCAGGAATCTACCTCATAAAGGTCCAAAGCAATCCCACACTGTTGTATTCATACTGTATGAAAGAAAGATACATTTACTGCAAATTGTATTTTTAGATTAATTCCAGAGTATGTGACAGATTTGGAGTGTTATGCATTTCTCAGTACCTTAATTGACCATGAGTCTTGTCAGAGGAAGATTATTTTTTAACTTTTAGAAAATGGCAGAGTAAAATGAATTTTCAAGGATGGAAATTTCTGTCTTTTTAAAGTGTAGTAACAGAACTGAAAACCTGAATTATAAATGATTCTACTTTGAAGACGAAACATTCCATCCTTAAAAATCTCAAAGCTTGTTCCTCCACTCAAAGCTGCCACATCACTGCTTTGTTCAACTTCCTGGACCACCACTTCTGTTCAGTCAATGATTTATAAACCACCTTTTACCATGATTAAATGCCGATTAAAAAATAGTGAGATAATTGGGAATTATAGGAAGTAATTTCACGCATCACTGTATCCCATTGACAGTTTAATCGATACTGAAAGACACAGGTTACCATACGCCACATCCCTGATGTCTGAACAGATGGGCATTGTGATTCTGACAGACAATAACTTCCAGCAACACATGTGGCCCACACAGAAACAGTGGTTTATAATGCAAGGGATGACACAGAATGTGGCAGCATCAGATTCATTAGGGCATTACATTATTTTATTAATCTAACGCCCTACCACAGTGTGATCTGTATCTAGACTTTGAAGCGTTAGCCAATATGTAATTATTTGCATAAATAAATCTGAGTCAGATTCCGTTTCAGTTTGCTAACACCTCTTCTGAGACCAATACACAGTGCCAAATACTTCTATACTTTCATTGCATTATGTAAAGGTCCCGGAGAGTCCCCGTCCAGTTTGTCTTATAGTTCCTCCAGTTCTAAAGATCAGCAAGGCCTGTGAAGATGCTGATCAATAAAGTTTGCTCCCTAATCTCCAAATTATTTAACAAATGACCTGCTTAACTGATTACATTGAAATCGTTCCAAGTCTTCAGAAATGAGAGATGCTACTGTAGGTCCTCATTTACTGTATTTCAGCACCACAATACTTTTAGATCCTGACTTTGCACATCTGAGGTTTGAGTGCTTTTGCTGGAAGAAGTGAATAGCTGTCATTCTTTTTGTTCTGAAAAGTGCAAATGACTTGCATGGCTGAGAATAGACCCCTCTAGACCACACAGCGACTGCAGGGGCCTTTTTTCGACACTTTTTTTGAGCCACTGTCCTTTGCTGCTGCCGTCTGCTGAGTCTGAAGTAGCTCCCTGTGTTGACCCCCTCTCTGCCCTTTAGGATTTGATATACCTGGATCAAATCTCCTTTTAGTCTCCTTTGTTGTAGACTTAAGAGATTCGGCTCTCTGGGACCAGGGGTGGAGATCTCGAATCTAAAGTCATTTTACAGTAACCACAATTACAGCACTTCTTCAAACTGTTAGCTGGAACTGCTAGTGAAGATGGCGTCCAGTGCCCAGTGAGGAAGTTTTAAGAAAGCTTTTTATGTGGCTGAAAATACCTCATTCTCTATATACAGTAGCAAAAAAGCACGGAGTAATTAAGTACAGTAGGAGATGTTCATGTGTGTTTTTGTTAAGCACAAATTACTGTATGTCTATTAAGGTGTCTAAAAATCCTCTTAAGGAACTTGATACAGAAAGGAATGGGTTCTACAGAGATACAGTAGTACTATTAACTGATTTGTTGAACTTTACAGAGGTAGTATTAAGCTTGGCTAATAGAATTGGTATTCGACCCCACTCTATGCAACAGTACCTGTATACAGTGTTTGTTCTACTGGCCTGACTGCACTCCTCTAAAATCCGGAACAAGAGGTCAGTCCATATTTGTCTTACTGGAAGAAATGCAATAAAAGGCACTCATGCCATGTCGCTCCGAAAATAGACATTCCTGTGTGTAGGCAAATGGGAAGCAGATACTTTTGAATCCAAAAGTCAAACGGGAAAATTAAAAGCAGAGAGGGAGACGAAAACTACTGTATTTGTATTTTTTGTTAAGGGAATGAACATGTATTCGTAGAAATCATTCCTCAAACAGAAGAGACGCATTGACTGAGGTCCTGCGTGTTAATTATTTATGTTTGAATGTTGTGTGAGTTAGAGTACATGAAGCAGGACATTTCTGTAAAGGCAAGGTCTGTCACATTCAACTTACAGCACCTCACAAAACAGAAGGCATGCTTTAAGAATAGGAAGGGGACACGGCTATCACACCCATTTCCTTATAAATGCTTCTTTTAATCTTCCTTTCTTCTTCAAATTGCTTTTTTTTTCCACTGATCATAACCGTTTTAGTAACTGATGTGCCCTCTGCTTCTCTCCTTTCTTTGAAGAAAAAAACTTAGTGGAAGGTTGGTGATGTTTTAATTGACTGCGTTCTTTTCTGTGCGTGTCTGTAAGGTTCAATCAATACAAAACATGCACTCATCCAAGGTCAATGAAAAGTGTCTGTGTGAGATCCACAGAAGATAGAAGGACGCTAATTGAAACGTTTATGACAATTTGCACTCGACTTGTTTCTAAGCCAAAAACTGTCATTAAGACCAAGAAATTAGGAGAAATTCAGAAACACAAAACACCCACAGAGCCAGTAAAAAGGGAGTGTAGTAAAATGCTAATACATACTGTAGCTCTAACACCTACGCTTGTGTTTAGGATGACTTCATGGTGACTGCACAGTACCTCATGCTTAGCATTATGTAAAGTAATTGCAGATTTACTGTAAAATGTGGTATAATTTGGTAGATTAAAACAGATTCAGGGCTTGGATCTAAAGTTCTTATGTGATAAGGTGCACCCTGTCCAATGGCATGCGTATGTATACGATGGACCTCACCTCCTTGTCCTTTGATTTGGAAAACAATCTCAATGCAAGTCTAATAAATTTTCCAGATTGCTCCAGATTTCCTTGCCTGATCTGAAAATCATTATGTAAATACATGATACATTTCCATGAATGAGGCACCTGGAGAATTGAAGACTTTATTAGCTGTGAAATCTGGATTTCCTTAATGAGATGGCTCCTTTGATACCACAGATAATGGACTCCACACAACTCACTAAAATCGTCCCTCGTGCATTTAAAAAAACAGGAAGGCAGCACATAAAGCAGTAGAAAAACATAAAATTTAAGGCTTTTAAAGTAATATTTGAGCATGCAAACCCTTTTTCCATACACTTTTAGCAATCAAGAACAACCACTGATCACACTAATTAATTAATGTTCATGGCATCAAATGGCTTAGAAATGCCTTTAGATAAAATCCATGAAATAAACTCAAAACAGTGTTATGCCATTATTAGCTAGCATTTCTTGTCACAGCTAATTTTCTGTTGGATTTTCAAAAGAAAAGTAATTTTTGT